TACTCCTGGCAAGACTCAGGGTGGTTGAGGATTGGCTGAGAACCCAAAAGGTTATGTCTAAAGGATAAAAAGGAAAAACAGACACAGATCGTGTGGTGTATGACGAGCACGCAGATTGTGCTTGTAAAAGATTTGGCTCCCCTTTATGTCAGTGGGCCAAATAAACCAGCCAGATTCATGCAATTGCAAATTATAGAGTAGAGTTGTTCAAGGCGGATAATGTAATGACGTCTGGTTGCTTTATGAAAAAAAAATCACGATACACTCTTTTTCAATATCAAAATGTACCGGGAAATATCTATTTATCCTGCAGAGGATGAAAGATGAAATGAGATAATGTGATTATGGGATTCAGCGTAATCAAATTCCAGCCTGAAATCTTGTTCAGCTTAAATACTGTACTCTGCAAAATCAATAGCTCCGTGTAATTAAATGCGGAATGAATGCATCTCCTAAGCCCGTCAGGTCTCAGGGGGCAACAAAGGTAGCACAATTCCCAAGTTATAACAGAGTTAGGAGACCCGCCATCCCTACTTTTTTTGTTCTTGATATTGGCTGAAATTGTTGCTGAGAGAGAAGCTACACTATTCTAGAAAAGAGGCACTATGTTTTGGAAATGCTTCAGTATAACATTCACATAGGAGAAATGAGTCCCTTCATACTGTGAATCACACCAATCAAAGAAAACTATTAATAGCTCTTCCAATGCCGGCATACTTTAACTAAATATTTACACAGTAAGGAAGATAACTACTGACTTGACTAAGGACTCATTTCATAACATTTTAGAAGGGTTTGGTTCTAATCGTGAAAATGGAGGTAGGGGAATGACAGCTTCCGGTACCGAAATAAACTAGAAGTACTCTGATTTTACACACTCCTAGAGTAAACCAAGTGCCTCATGGTGGCGCAGGTTAAACCGCTGAGCTGCTGAACTTGCTGACCGAAAGCTTGGTGGTTCGAATCCAGGGGAGTCGGATGAGCTTCTGCTGTAAGGCCCAACATCTGCCAACCTAGCAGTTTGAAAACATCCAAATGTGAGTAGATCAATAGGTACCGCCTTGGCAGGATGGTAATGGCACTCCATGCAGTCATGCTGGCCACATGACCAGGTGCCTATGGACAACGCCAGCTCTTTGGCTTAAAAATTGAGATGAGCACCACCCCCCAGAGTCGGACACGACTAGACTTAATGTCAGGTGAAACTTTTACCTTTACCTAGAGTAAGCCAAAGGAAAAGAATGCAAATGGCTGAATTCTATGAAATGCTATGTCAAGACTTTCCTCCAAAATTCAGCAATCCATCTAGGAACTTCCTTTGGGCTACTCCAAGATGCTGCTAAATTTAACTATCAAAGTATCAGATGATTGTTTCAATAACATTCAAAGTAAGCACATTTTTCAAAGTATAAAGATCCACTAAAGAAAAAAAAGGTAATGCTTTAAATTGTCATATTGGAAGAGAAACTAAAAATTAGCACCGAAACAGGCATACAGAGTATCTGACTGTGTCTCGGAGTAACAAAAAACAAACAAACAAGCAAGCAAACAAACAAATATAAGGATAATTTTAGTAGCGAATTTACATATTGCCTAACATCAGTCTGTCTCCAGAGGCCTGAATAAATTTGTTCAGGATTACAAATTAAGCTCTGTTACACAATTCCAGCACTGGAGACAGAGACTTTTAATAAATGTGGGATGTCTCAATTGGAAGCATTCCCAAACATGGGACTCTCTCTTCAGGACAGCACACCAGGCTGGCTTTTGACTTATATATTGAAATACAATACTAAGGCTAGTGTCCTGTATGGAATGTTGCAAGTAAAACCAATTGTTTCACCAAGTTTGGAAGAGGAGATTCCTGGTACTTTTATAATGTTTGACCAATGAAAAAACTGTCTCCTCTAGCAACATTGCCGTCATGCATCCCCTCTACTAGGGACAGAAGTGGCACCCCTCTCTTAGTTTCTGCACACCCTCTTCTTGTCATCTATTTTGATCCTTAAGAAAGGGGGCTACAAAGGAGTCCACGGCGTGCAAGTGTGGAGAAGAGCAAACCACAGACCACCTATTACAATGCAGTCTGAGTCCTGCCCTATGCACAATGGAGGACCTTCTTACAGTGACACCAAAGGTACTCCAAGTGGCCAGCTACTGGTCAATGCCAAGTTTTCAAACTTTGTGCTTCTTAAAAATATAATACAACTGTACCCCTGGTTCGCTCCTGATATGATAAATAAAATCTATTTTGATGGATCAGATGTTGTTTCTTTTTCCTCACCTTGTTTTCATCTTGCCCAATTCATTCTCTAGCAGCCCAAATGGTCACTGATTAGACCAGGGCTAAATTGGGAGCTAGACAAGATTCTGAAGTGTAAGAATATACAGCATATACGAAATTCAAAATGTTCCATGCTATCAGATTTCTGATTTCTAGGAATGGTTGAGAAAGCTGCACAGTAATAGAAATCAATTTGAGATGAAATGCTGGAGAAGTGTTCTATAGATACCGTGGACAGATAAAAAGACAAATAAATGGGTTCTAGAACAACTGGTCCTGAACTCTCCCCATAGGCCAAATGACTAAATCAAGACCCTTGTATTTGGGCCATATCCTGAGAAGACAAGGCTCCTAGAAAAGTCAGTCAACACTTGGTAATGTCAAGGATGGTAGGAAAGGAGGATCATCACATTACAGGTGGACAGGCTCAAACAAGGAAACCATGGCCCTTAGTCTGCAAGACTGTTGGGCATAGAGTGGTCTCTCAACAATAGGGTCATCATTGTTCCTTCTTTGGAGGCTTTTAAACAGAGGCTGCCGGGGGTGTTTTGAATGGGACTTTCCTGCTTCTTGGCAGGGGGTTGGACTGGATGGCCCAAAAGGTCTCTTCCAACTCAATGATTCAAAGATTCTATGTTGAAGTCAATTGGAGGAACGTTAACAAGGAAATTGGGAAGTTCCTTCTCTGCATATTATCTACTTCTCTTTTTTTATCTTGTCTGAGTTTTTAATTAGTTTTAATCAGTTTGTTTTTTTTAATCATTGCATGTAGCCCGCCCATTGTCTCTGTGCCTGTGTGTATTGTAACTTTTATATTGTTTTATGTTTTATGTAATTATGATGTTATTGTTTATTGTTTGCGTTTTCGGTTCTGTCTTGGTTTTCTTTATTGTAATTGTTGTTCGGGCCTGGCCCCATGTAAACTGCTCCGAGTCCCATTGGGGAGATGGTGGCAGGATATAAATAAAGTTTATTAATTATTATTATTATTCCCAGTCTTTAATGCCATGGGGTGGAAGCTTCCAGGTTTTATTCCTGCCATGCCAGCCATCAACAGGGTTTTAGTCTAAAGCTGGCATTCTCAAACTGTTTGGGATTCCCAGAAGCCCTAGCCTGCTCATTCTGGGATTTGGAGACCCAAACAGCCAGAAGGCCGCAGTTTGAGGATGCCTGGTTGGTCTAAAGCAGGCATCTTCAAACTGTGGCCCTCCAGCTGTTTGGGCCTTCAACTCCCAGAATTCCTGATAACTGAACAAGCTCGTTAGGGCTTCTGGGAGTTGGAGGCCCAAACAGCTGGAGGGCCACAGTTTGAGGACGCCTGATCTAAAGTATACGATGTGTGCTGGCAAAGCCATATGCAATGTCTGAGCGTAAATTTAGAGCTTCAGGTTCGAATCTTGCTTCAGCAAGGATTAAAGTACACATTACCTACGACAGGCATCATGCAGTCATGTCAGTGACTTTTGCCTCTTACTTAAAACTAAATGTCTGTCCAGAACCCCCTCTCATGCACCTGAGGTTTACATAAGAAGGGAAAACCCCATTTGTTTTCAAGGGAGCTAAGGTGAGACACTGCTCTTTCAACCATAATGGTAATCTGATTTTACAGGCTGGTTGTGAGGATTATAGTGATATTTCAAAGTCAAAACGCTTCATGTAAGACAGCAACCTAAATGCGAAGTTAGATTTCTTTTTAATCTTTTCTTCCTCCTGCTGTTTTGGAGAGTCTTGAGGGAAGCACGGCTGCTTGATCTCCAAGTTGAACTTACCAAAACGTGCAGTTAAACCCTCATTTCATTTATTATAAAGGCTGAAATATTTAATAAGCCAATTGAATCAAGCAGAAGTTTTTTATTCTATTAAAAGTAAGTTTCTTATTAATGATGTACCAACTGTAAAGCATATGTTTTAATAGCAGAACTGAAGGAAAATTACAACACCATCTTAAGAAGAATTCCCTTTCTTTTTTTTTCCTCTGAAGATCAAAACTACTCAAGCCTTTTTACAATTTTTAAACCAAAGGAATCAAGATTTCTACTTTTAAAAATACTGCTTTTATCACTGTGACAAATTAATAATTCAATTATATACTCACACAATTACCAGGAAGTTCCATCTTATTTGGGGAGGCTGAGAATTAACCAGCTGGCAAACTTCCCTAGTGTGTCCTTTGGTTCATTTCTCCCATGTTATGCATGTCAAACCCTAAGAGTAGACAATCCAGGATGGGATTTTAGATGATGTCTTGGAGTGAGCAGGCTTCAAATTCCCCTATTCAGCTGCAAAGACCAGCTAGTGACCTCGGGAAAGATACAAGATCTCTAAGGTACTGCTGAAGTCATTTGGGATGAGGGATGGAAAAATCATGTCAAATGTAGCTTTGGGGATAACAGTGTGTGACACATATAAAAATCCTATTAACTTAATGCCACCTATTATTTACCTGGAGCCCCCAGTGGAACAGTGGGTTAAACTGCTGAGTTGCTGAACTCGCTGACCAAAAGATCAGCGGTTAAAATCTGGGGAGCAGGATGAGCTCCCACTATTAGGCTCAGCTTCTGCCAAACTAGCAATTCGAAAACATGCAAATGTGAGTAGATCAACAGGTACCGCTTCAGCAGGAAGGTAACGGTGCTCCACGCAGTCACGCCATACATAAGGGTAATCAATGTTAAAGTATCAGATATGGAGAAAATAGCATGAGACAAGTACTTACGCAGTTCTTCTCTGTGCCTTTCAGTCTGCTCAAAATACTGCCGGAGCTCTTCTGTGATTTCCATGTTGCTCAGATCATACCCTACATCCCCTTCACTTTCAGATTCTGTGTCAGACTCCAAGACCTTTTCCACTGTTTGTCTTCTTTTGGTATTATAAGGGGTTTGCCGAGATCTTGGATGGTACCAGGTTTGACGGTTTTGCGTGAAGGCCCCCTTGTGCAAGTGCTTCCCTTCTTCCCAACCTGGGTAACGGCTAGAAGGAAGATCTGCCGGAGGACAAAATGATTGATTATACAGGAACTCCACGGCTTTGTTGTAAGCGTTTCTGTGCCTGTACATCCAGTCCATGGCTTGGTTGTAATGCTTCCAGTATCTTGCATATATCTTTTGTGAATGCCATGGTCCTATGCCTTGAGACATCTTCCTGAGCAGAAAGACAAACAGATGTAAGAACCAACTCTAAAAAGCCTCTTCCTGTTTTCTTGTGTTTTTTTTAAAAAAGAATATATTCATCCTATTTTAGGGGGTGTTTACAGCAAACCTTTTTCTTTTCTGCAATGGGTGAAACAAGAGTGGGGCATATCTCAATCTTTACAATTGCTTTTACTCCAAATAATAAAATGGTGACGTGACTTTTAAGATTGCAGCTTCATTTTAAACATAAAACATTTGGGGGCCTCAAAAACTACAAATCTAAGTCTCAACAGATAGCTACAGTAAATATGCCAGTAAATGTACTATGGTTCACTTCATCACCACATGCTTTGCCACAAAAGCATAGGCAAATACCAGAGCCCCCAAAGTACTTATGATAATGGAAACTTCATAAGACAGCCCCAATTCACACATTTTTCGAGCCTCTCCCCTCAGTTTGACTGGAACTTAGAGCCTGGGCCTGTAAGTTAATAACTGAATCTAAAGAGACACAATTTCTTCCTTCCTTCTCCCTTCTTCTAGGAAAATTAATCAGAACTTAAGAAAAGTTGCCTTTCTGGACAACAACTCCTAGAATCAGTCTGGATTCTGGAAGCTATATTTCTTTTAAAAAGATAGTAAAGTTACAGGTTTCTCCCTGATATTAAGCCTAGTCGTGTACGATTTTGGGGGGTGCTGTTAATCTTCATTTTTTAGCTGAAGAGCTGTGTTGTCTGCAGACACCTCCAAGGTCATGTGGCTAGCATAACTGCTTGGAGCGCCATTACCTTCCCACCAAAGCGGTACCTATTGTTATACTCACATTAGCATGTTTTCAAACTGCTAGATTGACAGAAGCTGGGGCTAACAGTGGGAGTTCACCCCGTTCCCCAGATTCGAAATGCCAACCTTTCGGTCAGCAAGTTCAGCAGCTCAGCAGTTTAACCCGCTGTGCCACCAGGGGCTCCAAAAAAGGTACCTTATTCAATCTCAGAAATCATGTGAGCAGGACTTCTGAGTGATGTGTATTTCCAGTGAAAGCTCTTGATCATACACTGAATTATCTGGAAAGGTGTCTATATGGCTCTGGCCCAGCTTACTTGTCCAAACATTATTAACTATATTTCTATACCACTTTTCTCACCCCTGGGGGGACTCAAAGTGGTTTACAACATAATAAATGGCAAATTAAATGCCTCACATATATTTAAAAATATAACATATCTAAATCAATAACATATAACTTTAGATAAAAACCATTAAAACTATATAAAAATCAAACATACACATAAGCATGAAACATATCTCCCACTACAATTCCGCCTTGTAGTTTAAGATCCACCAGCCTCGCAAATGCATCTGGTGGGGACAAGGGACAGGGTCTTCTTGGTGGTGACCCCTGCTTGTGGAACTCGCTCCCCAGTGAGATTAGAATGCCGCTCTTCCTCCTTTCTTTTAGGAAAAAACTGAAATCGTGGTTTTGGAACCAGCCCTTTGGCTAGCAGGTATAACAGCACTTTGGACACTGAACCGGACTATATGACTGTTACAATAATGGAAACGGCTATATGATAGTATAACTAATGTTATTGTTTTTAATCTATTATGTATTTATGGTTTTATATTGTTATAATGTGTTCTGCGGAATCAAATTGCTACCAGTGTTAGCCGCTCTGAGACCCCCCTCCGGGGTTGAGAAGGGCGGGGTAGAAATGTTGTAAATAAATAATAATAAATATGTGGGGTGATTGGCAGATTCTTTATTCCTGGGACATGCAAATAATATGAGCCCCAATACCCTTTTCTACATTACAGTGAACAGTGGAGATTAAATCTTACAAAATCCCTCTCCCATTTCCCACACATATATAACTTTTCTTCCCAGAAAATGTGAAAAGCCAGTCCTGATACATTCCCATGCACTTTCTCTTCTCGACTTTTGCCCCCATGTTTGGCTCTGGTGTCTGTATATGGTGAAAAATGTCACATCCTCATTTCAGTCTCACAAGAGTCTTGAAAACAAACTGTATGCAATGGAGTCGCTTTCCATGCCCGTGTTTACAAAATCCCAGAATTTGAAGGGACCAATTTCTCTGTAACTATTCCATTCTAAACTAATAAGATAATGAATTCAAAGAGGGAGGGGAGAAAGGCCTAATAGTATTTACTCTTTCCATTCAGTTTTGACAATGGGTTTTAAAAGGTCAGTCTTCTTTTGTTTATGGCTAGTTTCACTTTTTGGTTCCCATGGACTTGTAGGACATGATTTTTGTGTGTGTCTCAGACATTCTTGAATACAAGCAGAAGTCTCTCCCCTCTCTTCACCCAGCACAACTTTGAAAAGCTTTGGGGAAAGGGGACCTGACAATGGGTTCAATCGCTATAACATTCCCATTATTTTAATGATACCAGACTGTACCCAATAACCTTTTGAAGTCAGCTTTGGAGACAAAGAACAAATTTGCTGTAAGCTACGCATTTTGAAAACATATACAACTTTCCTCCACCACATATGTCTTGATTTGATATTTTATTTTAGAGGGTAAGGAATGTCAGATTTTCCACTTAAAAAAAAATGCCAATTTCATTGTCGAATGCTTTCATGGCCGAAAACACTGGGTTGTTGTAGGTTTTTTGGGCTGTATGGTCATGTTCTAGAAGCATTCTCTCCAGAGGTTGTGAGGATGCTTGCCACAGATGCAGGCAAAAGGTCAGGAGAGAATGCTTCTAGAACATGGCCATACAACCCGAAAAACCTACAACAACCCAATGCCAAATTCAGATTTCCTATATTATCTTTATGGATGGAAATAACAGGGCAGTGCTCTTAATGGGAGATGTCTACACCTTTCATTCCCATACTCTGGGAGATGCAAATGACCCACTCCACCATTTTAAAAAAATCTATGTTGGGGTTATTTTTCAAAACAAGATAGTAAATTTAATTTTCAAGTACACACACACACAAACATATATATAGGGTGGAGAAATACATCCCAAAGCCAAACCAACTGCGCTCTGGGGGCAAAGAAGATCCATATGGAGATATGTGGCGACACGTTTTGTTAACAGCGGTATATGGTGATGAAGATATGGGGCCTGTGCAGAAGTCTGGGCCACCCATTGCTTCTATGTGGTTTGGAGCTAGCACGTGGGTCCTACAGCTGATTTTGGCCTTCTTGGTTTCCCATTTCTGTTTGACTTGCAAAAACACCCATATAAAATTATAAAACAGTTAAAATATATAAACAGTTAAAACATATAAAATAGTAATACAGATTCAAAACATACAAAGTGCTGAGTCACGATTTCCAAACTTCTTAATTTTCCCATAGTTGTTATTTAGGTTAGAATGATATAATATCTAAAGCCTTTCCTCCCTAACTCTCCCTACCAAGCCCTGATAGAATATGATCTTATGGGTTGTCTCATGAGGTAAGGTGGTATAAAGTGCTATTCTGCATTGATATAAGGCTAAGGGTACAAAGTGCAAGATTTTTAAAGCAGTCAAGCATAGAGTGAAGAAGTGTCAATGCTGAAATCTTAAATGTTCTGTGAGTTAACACTCAATGACCAAATTCTCTTAGAAATCAAAACAGCGAAGATACAATGAATAAAACCCAATCAGAAGAGCTTGCTGGAAATGTTCCGACCTCTTCTTCAACAGCAGACTCCTCTAGTCTCCTCTATCCTTCCCTCCAATGAGCAGTCGGGCTTTATTTCCTGAAGTATGGACTGGTTGGATCTTCACACGGTCCAAGGCACTCTCAGAACTTTCCTCCAGCACCACAGTTCAAGAGCATCTATCTTCCTTCGCTCTGCCTTCCCTATGGTCCGTAGGTGACTATGGGGAATACCATTGCTTTAAGTATGCGGATCTTCGTTGCCAGTGTGATGTCTCTACTCTTCACTATTTTATAGTGAAGACATCTGCCCTTGCGCTATGCTACTCTGCTGCTGAGTATGCATGTCCAGTGTGGAACACATCTCACCACGCTAAAACAGTGGATGTGGCCCTTAATGAGACATGCTGCATTATCACGGGGTGTCTGCGCCCTACACCACTGAAGAAACTACACTGTCTAGTTGATATTGCACCACCTGACATCCGCCGGGAAGTAGCAGCCAATAGTGAAAGGACCAAGGCAGAGACATCTCCAGCTCATCCCTTGTTTGGGTATCAGCCAGCACGTCAACGACTTAAATCAAGAAATAGCTTTCTAACATCTACAGAGATACTCACAGGAACACCTCAGCAAGCAAGAGTCCAAAAGTGGCAGGCCCAAACCCAGAACCTCAATTCATGGCTGATATCAGATGAGAGACTACCTCCTGGGCACACAGAAGATTGGGTGACCTGGAAGGTGCTGAACAGGCTGCGCTCTGGCACCACAAGATGCAGAGCCAACCTTAAGAAATGGGGCTACAAAGCGGAGTACACAACATGTGAGTGCAGAGAAAAGCAAACTACAGACCACCTACTACAATGCAATCTGAGCTCTGCCACATGTGCAATGGAGGAATTTCTCATAGTGACACCAGAGGCCAGCTTCTGGTCAAAGGACATTTAGTATAATGCAAAGTTATAAACTTTGTTTGTGTTTTTAAATACATTACAACTGTACCCTCAATTCACTTCTGACATGATAAATAAATAAGCTGCACCTAATACATTGGCATTACTAAACTAGTTTTAAGCCTAGTAGTAGAAGTACAGGCTTTGTGCGTGTATGCGTTTTTTTCCAGTGAAGGTAAAGTTTCAACAGAAATCTTAGAAGACAGAAAAGGCCAGAAGTTTAGGATTCACAATGATGTCAAATAAAAGAAAAAGAGAGAGGAGTGTGCTATTACAGCCGCCTGCAGGACGGCCCAGAGCTCCCCAATTCTCTTTTGCAGCCAGAATTTCTCATCTTGGGTGCAGCGGCTGAGTGAAAGGAGATGGGCGCTATCAGGATGGCCTCCATTCATCTGAAATGCAAATGAAGAAGCAGCCACAAGGCAGAACAAAGG